CAGGAAGGCTGACGTTTCGGGCCTAGACCCTTCACAGGAAGGCTGACGTTTCGGGCCTAGACCCTTCAGGGACCTCTCCTGTTTTTTATTCTTCGTAGGAATCTCTGAAACAATTTTTAACTTATTAGGTTAGCTACAGTTGATTAACCTTTTCCATTTGTTTTTTGTTCCTAAAAGGAATGTATAACTGTTGTTGACGATATGGCACATCTTTAACATCTTTCCTACAGCATTCATTTCTACAGCATTACAATCAAATTCTCTGTCTCCTGTCCTCAGCCAACATCCTAGCTGGGTCAATAATTTATGTTAAATTCGTAACTTTGACTTTAGCTTGCACTCAATTATGTGAGACTCTCTCCAGTGTTTTTTGGAAATGTATATTAATGATATCCACAGGCATTCCCCTATCCAGTACTTTAATCATCCCTTCAAATATCAGTCAGGTACATCGTGTGATCTGCCACCTCTGCTGGGTCTCTGAGAGCAGCTGAAAATTTTCAAGGTTTTCATTAATTCTGTCCCTAACAATAGATAGCTCATGTAATTTCCCAACATCGGATGCAGTGGAACACCACCAAATCTAAGTACCCCACCAAGTCATACTGCATCCTGACTTGGGACTATATTACTATCCCTTCACAATCGCTGTGTCAACATCCTGAAATGCCCTTGCTGATGATGTTGTACCTACACCACATGAACTGCTGCAGTTCAGGAGCAATCTCATTCTCACCACCTCAGGGATAATGAGCACAATAAATGGTAACCATTCCAGCATCACTCCTACGCCCTACATGAATAATTAAAAACAAGCATATGATAGGTTAACTGGTCTGTAATTCTCTGCTTCCCACTCTCGCCTTTCTTAAATAATGAATTGATGTGCACAATTTTTCCATCCAAAGAAACAATTCCCAAACAAGAGATATTTGGGAGATTATAATTAGGGCCTCTGCAATGTTCTCATCTACTTCCTTTCAAGTCTTGGAATGGAGGTCATCTGATGTTGGGCATTTATATCTCTTTAGTGCCTTTTTTTAATGTTTACCATTATTTTCCTAAGTTAATTTTGGTGTATGCCTACCTCTGTTCAATGGGCAGGCAGCTAGGTTATCTTCTTTTTCTGCCATAAATACTGTTGTAAATGAATTATTAAACATGTTCGCTATGCCTTTATTTTCATTGACAATATCAGTGTGCGTGGTTTTCAAGAGGCCCGCATTCTTTCCGATCGTCCTCATTTTCCTAGTCTAATTGCAAAAAATATCTTACGTTGATAAAAATGCAAATTGCTTTTCATACTTTTAGCTCTTCCTAAGTATTTTTTGGCCTTATCTCCCTCAGTTACTTGGATTTTGTATTTTCCTTTGAATTTTATGCCTCTTACCTAATTAGTGGACTGTTACTGTTTGTTGAGAAGTGGTGCCGCTGACCCTTTATTTATAAGCAGATTCTGTATTCCATTAAATACTCTTCAAACATGTTGCACTGATCTGTTGTCATTGTGCTGTGTATACGATGGAATACTGCATACAATTTTGGTTGCCCTTCTATGGGAAAGATGTTGTTAAACTTGAGAGGTGCAGAAAAGATTTACAAGGATGTTGTCAAGACTGGGGGGTTTGAGCTGTAAGGGACAGGCTGAATATGCTGGGGCTGTTTTCCCTGGAGTGTCGGAGGCTGAGGGTGACCTTATAGAGCTTTTTAAAATCATAAGGGATGTGGATAGATTGAATAGCTAAGATCATTTGCCCCCATAGTAGGGGAGTCTGAAACTAGAAGGCATAGGTTTAAGTTGACGGGAGGAAAGATTTAAAAAGGACTTGAGGGGTAACTTTTTCATACAGAGGGTGATGAGTGTATGGAACGAGCTATCAGAGGAAGAGATGGAAGCAGGTGCAATTGCAACATTTGAAAGGCATCTGGATGGGTATATGAATAGGAAGGGTTTAGAGAGATATAGGCCAAATGCTGGCATATGGAACTAGATCAGGTTCGGATGTCTTATTGGCACAGATGAATTGGACTGCAGAGTGTGTTTCCATGTTGTATAATTCTATGACTCTAGAAGTCTCAGCCTCATTTTGAAGTCTGAGGTTAGCCCGACCTAAATCTTAGAAGGTGATCTGTGTTTCTCCCTTCCAAATATTCAATTGCACTTAATCAGAATATGATCACTATTAGATAAAATATTCACACACCATTGGACTCTGACTAAATATGCCTCATTATCCATTGCTAAATATTATGCACCTGCCCCTTTTTTGGATCTGTGCTATGTTGTTGAAGAAAGCTATCAGAAACACACGTTGGAATTCATAACTATTCTGAGGAAAACTAGTCCTATCCCAATGTATGTGGAATTTACAGCTGCCAATGAAAACAGAACTGCCTTTGCTACATTCTCACCTAATGTTTCCCTTTGACAACTACAATAAGGAATTACATACACTGCTGTTATGGCTGCAATGTGATCTCTACCATATGTAATTTAAACCTTCAATTCTTTCAATAGTTTCCTGTACACTGTTTGCAAGAATGAAGAATACTTATTTGTAACACAGCCCCTGACCTGTGACCTGACTCCTTCATCCACAATTTCATTTCTCTAGTTTGTTTTCCTTCATTCGTCCAGTTTGCATGTCACTCAGATAAGGATCCAGAGATTATTGTCTTTGAGATGCTGATCTTAAATTTAGTTCCTAATTCTTATTTCTCTCCAAATTACACTTTCCAACATTCTGTTGGTTCTGACACAGATGCAATGAAAGAATTGCCCCCTCCAATTCCAATTTCTTTTCAAGTGGGTTTGAGATGCTGCTTTCTGTGGCACCGTGCTATATTGGAGTTTTGATTTGCTTATAAAGAATGCTATCTGTCAGTCTAAGTGTTTAATCCATTGCCCCCACATATGTTGTTACAATATAAAATGAGTGTGTTTTCCACTGTTCTGGATAAATATTTTGTAAATAAAAGCTTTGCAGCATGTATGTCCATAAGAGTTCATTTAAACATTATTTTTTGTAATTCTATATTTTTTTCTAGCAGTGGACTCTTAGTCTTAGAAAAATCTTTAGACAGAGAAAGTACAGATCGATATATTCTTATTGTCACAGCATCTGATGGCAAGCCTGATTCGGTAAGTCAGTTAAATTATTTGATTAGTAGCTTATTTTTCTACTGTTTGCAGTTGTTCTGTTCTTTTCCTTTACACTGGAATTGAAAAGGCTTATTCTGGTAATTTGACATCTGTGTTAGAAAGTTTTGTATATTCATTAATTGTCATTATTAATTTAATTTGAACATTGTTGTTTCTCAATATGTATAAAACACAATTCATGACTGGGAAGTTTTCTTCTTCTCTTCTGTTCTGTTCTCTTCTATTCTGCCATGACTTTGTGCCACACCAGCTACCGATTTCTACCTTGGATAGGACAAATGGTCAAATTCAACTCTACCAGGTTCTTGGATCTCATTAGTTAGGAGTGCGGGTCAAACAAGTGGTCTTGTAGTCTAATCTATGCTTTTGTCCAGTGGTACAAGAGGAAGAAAATATAATCTCCAAATTTATCTTGTATGTTCCTTACACTGCCTCACCTAAAGAAGGTATCACTAGTGTTTTGTGTGATGGTGAATCCCTCTTCTGAAAGAAAACATAATGCCGCTTCTATTTCATCTTATCAGTTGAATAATGCTGAAAAAAATGCACATTTCATTAAGGCATTTTGTCTTGCATTCATCAGGACATTTGTAATACTACCAGTGTAACAACAAACAACATTTTATACTGTATAGAACAAGAGTGCTGATTGGTTGGCAAGTGGAGTATGATTAGACGGGGACATTACCCTGAGAAATGAACCAGAGAATGGATTGGTAGATGTTTTGTTAAGTTGAAACAAGCACAATGTGTGTACATGTTCTTACTATTTGCAAAGAATGGGACCCTGTGTATTAATATATGCAACTTCCAGTGTACACAATCGTGTCACACTGCAGACATATTTCTGAATGTCTGGAGATTATTTAGCAAATATTTAGCAAATGCTGTCAATCACGCCAAATGTCAGACACTGTTTTAGGTTTTGAAAGCGCCTGTTGATTTGGCTATCAGTACCTTGCCTGTGACAAATACCTGAAGGGGTCTGCCTGTCTTTAAGAAGTATGGCATCCATACCCTTCATCTGTTCCTCAATTTCTTTGAGATAAATTACTTTTACAGCGTAATCTGATGCAGACTGGGAATTTTTCAGGTCTGAAAGTGATGGTCTTAGTCGACTGAGACCTCTTCATGAGTTTACATGATATAGTAAGAAATTATCTGATCAGGATAGCCATTAAATCTTGAGATAGCTTTGATGCTTCCTATTTCAGAATCAAGCTTGCATGTTGAACAAATGGTTCAGACCCTAGTCATGAGGTTACTGATAAGGTTAATTCAATGCATGGATGTATAGGAATCCCAATCAGTATATTGACCAGGGAATGTAAACCATAGTCGAGAACAAACAAACAAACAAACAAAAACAGAAACTGCTGGAGAAACTTGGCAGATCTGCCAACGCCTGTGAAGAGAAAAGAGAGTTAACTTTAACTTTCTTTTCTCTTCACAGGTCCTGCAAGACTTCCTGAGGTTCTGTAGCATCCAAAGTTCTTTGTTTTATAAAAGTAGAGAACATCCTGGCTAATTGCTCTACCAGGATGTCAAGGACTGACTACTTCACTTCAAAGGTGAATTTGAGCACAAGATAAAGCCTTTTAACGTGTTTAACAACATTCTTACATTTAGCTACAAATCTAAATATTGTAGATATATTGTCCACATTTGGAAATATGTGTGGAGCGTGAGGTCATGTATTATTCCATCAAAGTCACATTTCTCCCGGAACCCAACTGAGATGTTTATGAGAGTTGGGCCTAGTGGGGATTCCATGGCAATACCAACAAAATGGGCACACATGGCATTGTTAAAAGTTGAAATCAATGGCATGCATTGCTAATTTCATAAGTTTAAAGACCACTGATTTGTACAATGGTCAGGGAACTAGATCATCACAATATAATGCTGGAGTACAAATGTTTATGGCTTCTTTGAGTGATACATTGGTGAATGGGCTAGCAATGTATAATGAGCACATGGACACGACATTTCTAGACAAAAAACCTGGAAATCTAAAACAAAAATAGAAATTTCCATAAAACCTCAGCAGGCCTGGCAGCATCTGTGGAGAGAAATCAGAGTTAACATTTTCGGTCCAGTGACCCTTCATCAGAATTCTGACTCCTGAGGAAGTGTCACTGGACCTGAAACATCAACTCTGATTTCTCTCCACAGATGCTGCTGGACCTGCTGAGATTTTCAAGCAATTTCTATTTTGGTTTGTCATTGCTATCAACATGCTAGTTTTGTAAGATGTGACTTTGTGGTTGGACAACATTTGCTAAATAATCCTGAAAGACCTAAGTGCTACACTGACAACCACTTTAAGACTGTCAGTCAGGCTTGCAGTGTGGCACACTTGCATGTGCTGGAGACTATGCATCAATACACAGTGTCATGTTCTTTTCAAACAGAAGGAGCATATGCACACATTGTGCCTGTTTCAACTTAACACTGTAAGCAAAACCCATTGTCTTGTCATTTCTTAGGGCAAGGCCTTAACCAAACAAGATGGGTAGTAACTGTAAGTCATCACCTAACTGGTGCATTCTCCACAGTGATATCTATCAATCAGAGTCCACCTGTCGGTCAATCAGCAGTCTTTTCCCATACTATATAAAATGTTACCCACTTTATATTCATACTCTTCCAAATGTCCTGATGAAAGCAAAACAAAAACTTCAACAAAATATCTTTCTTTTTGAGTATCAGTGGAACAGCTTTCATCATGTGTTAGCTTAATGAGAACACACATTGAGCAGAAGAAAAAGTTCTTTACTCATCATTTACTAGGTTGCAGAACAAATTATTTTGCTTCCTGCTTTGATGTTGTGGCAAAATACAAGTATCTGAGATGTTTTGTTTTAGTGACTGTTGAGCAGGTAGGATCACTCAAGGATAAAGGAGGGAACTTGTGCTTGGAGGCAGATGATGTGGGTGAGATCCTAAATGAGTACTTTGCATGGGTATTCACCCAGGAGATGGATATGGAGGATCGTGAGATTAGTGTGGAGCTTGCCAGTAGGCTCGGGCATTTTGAGAACAAGAAGGAAATGGTGTTGGATCTCTTAAAGAGCATTAAGGTGGATAGATCCCCACGATCTGACAGTATCTGCCCCAGGTTACTGATAGAGGCAAAAGATGAGATTGCTGAGACCTTAACCAAGATCTTTGTATCCTCACCAACCACTGGAGAGTCCTGGAGGACTAGTGAGTAGCTAATGTTGTTACTTTGTTCAAAAAGGTAAATAGAGATAATCCAGGAAACTATAGACCAGTGAGTCTCACGTCAGTCGTTGGGAAGCTGTTGGAGAAAATTCTTAGGGATAGGATTTATGCACATTTGAAAATGCATGGACTAATTAGGGACAGTCAGCATGGCTTTGTGCCAGGCAGGTCATGTCTTACTAACTTGATTGAATTTTTCAAGGAAGTGACGAAGGTGATCAATGAGGGTAGAGCAGTGGATGTTGTTTACGTGGATTTTAGTAAGGCTTTTGACAAGGTCTCTCATGGTAGGCTCATCCAGAAGATTAATATACATGAGATCCATGGTGATTTAGCCGTGTACCTTCAGTATTGGCTTGCCCATAGAAGACAGAGGGTATTGGTGGAAGGGTGTTTGCCAAGCGGAGGTCGTGACTAATGGTGTTCCATAGGAATCCATACTGGGACCTCTGCTATTTGTGATATATATAAATGACTTAGAAGAAATTGTAGGTGGATGGTTTGGTAAGTTTGCAGATGATACAAAGATTGGTAGACTTGTAAATAGACTTGGATAGTGTAGATGCTTGTCAGAAGATACAGCGGGATCCAGATCAGTTGCAGATATGGGCAGAGAAATGGCAGAAGGAGTTTAATTCGGGTAAGTGTGAGGTCCTGCAATTTTGGAGATCAAATGCTAAGGAAAAGTATACAGTTAATGGCAAGACTCTGAACAGTATTGATGTACAGAAGGATCTTGGGAGTTCAAATCCAGAACTCCTTGAAAGCGGCCATGCAAGTAGGTAGGGTCGTAGAGAAGGTGTATGGCATGATTGCCTTTATTGATCGGGGAATTGAGCACAAGAGTCAGGATGTCATGTTGCAGCTTTATAAGACTTTGGTTAGACCACATTTAGAGTATCATATTCAATTCTGGTCGCCACATTACAGGTAGGATGTGGAGGCTTTGGAGAGGGTGCAGAAGAGGTTTACCAGGATGCTGCCTGGGTTAGAGGGTATGAGTTATAAGAAACAGCTGGAAAACATTGCGTTGTTTTGTCTTGAGTGGCGGAGGCTGAGGGGATAACAGTGTGGAGCTGGAGGAACACAGCAGGCCAGGCAGCATCAGAGGAACAGGAAAGCTGACGTTTCGGGTCGGGACCCTTCTTCAGAAATGGGGGAGGTGAAGGGGGCTCTGAAATGAATAGAGTGTTGGGGGGTTGGTGATAGCAGGGATATAGTGGAGCGGATAGGTGGGAGAAAAGACAGACTGGTCAAGGAGGCGGGTATGGGAGGGGGGCTGGTCTTGGGATGAGGTCGGGGGGGAGGAGATTTTGAAGGTAGTAAAGTCGACATTGAGACCATTGGGCTGTAGGCTTCTAAGGCAGAATATGAGGTGCTGTTCCTCCAGTTTCCGGGTGGCATTGTTGTGACACTGGAGGAGGCCCAGGATGGACATGTCGTCCAGGGAGTGGGAGGGAGAGTTGAAGTGGTTCGCGACTGGAAGGTATTGTCATTTGTTGCGAACCGAGTGCAGGTGCTCTACAAAGCAGTCTCCGAGCCTCAGCTTGGTCTCCCCGATGTGGAGGAGGCCACATTAGGAACAGTGGATACAATAGACCACACTAGCGGATGTGCAGGTGAACATCTGTTTGATGTGGAGGTTTTTCTTGGGGCCTGGGATGGGGGTGAGGGGGGAGGTGTAGCACTTCCTGCGGTTGCAGTGAAAGGTGCCGGGGGTGTTGGGGCTAGTGGGGAGTGTGGAGCGGATGAGGGAGTCACGGAGAGAGCAGTCCCTCCGAAAGGCAGATAAGGGTGAGGAGGGAAATATATCCTTCATAGTGGGGTCGTATTGCAGGTGGCAGAAGTGGCAGAGAATGATGCGTTGAATCCGGAGGTTAATGGGGTGATACATGAGGACAAGGGGAATTCTTTCTTTGTTTTTATTGCAGGGAGGGGGTGTGAGGGCTGAGGTGCGGGAAATGCAAGAGATGCAGTCGAGGGCGTTTTCGACCACTGAGGGGGGGAAGTTGCAGTCCGAGGACATCTGGGATGTTCAGGAGTGGAATGCCTCATCTTGGGGGCGGAGGCGGAGGAATCATATTCCACCTTGGAAGCCTACAACCCAATGGTCTCAATGTGGACTTTACAAGCTTCAAAATCTCCCCACTCCCGACCTCATCCCAAGACCAGTACCTCCTCTCATCCCCGCCTCCTTGACCTGTCCATCTTCTGTCCCACCCTATCCACTCCACTATCCGCCTGCTATCACCACCCCCCCAACATTCTATTCATTTCAGAGCCCCCTTCCTCTCCCCCATTTCTGAAGAAGGGTCCCAACCTGAAACGTCAGCCTTCCTGCTCCTCTGATGCTGCCTGGCCTGCTGTGTTCATCCAGCTCTACACTGTGTTGTCTCTGACTCCAGCATCAGCAGTTCTTGGTATCTTGGAGGCTGAGGTGGGATTTGATAGAAGCCTATAAAATTATGAGATGCATTGATAGGGTTGATGGCCAGAATCTTCTTCCCAGAGTTGAAATGTCTCATACTAGGGGGCATGCATTTAAGGTGAGGGGGGAAAGCTCAAAGGAGACGTGAGGGGCAAGTTTTTTTACACAGAGAGTGGTAGGAGTCTGGAATGCACGGCTAGGGGTGGAGGTTGAAGCAGATTCAATTGGGGCGTTTAAGGGACTTTTAGATAAGCACATGAATTTGCAAGGAATGGGGGGATATGAACCTAGGGCAGGCAGAAGGGATTATTTTCATTGGTGTCATGTTTGGCACAACATTGTGTGCTGTACTGTCCTATGCTATATGCTCTGAGTCTATTTATGTAGTTCAGCTCATGGTTGAGCCAAACCTGATCTTTAACTGTTATCATCTGCCTAACAACAAGCCTGAAGCAGATTCAAATATGCAATTTTGAAACATATGCAAATTTCAGAATTTTGTCAGAGTATTTCCATTCCATTCTGATCTTGAGGCTTTGTTTTCAAATTCATCGGGTAAAGTTTCTCTTTTCTGGGTTATAAAAGAGAGCAATTTATCTTCATTTCAACTATTTGAAATGAAATAATTTGATTCGTTTCAAAGCAAACTATTTCAAATGAAACTCGCGAGGAAAGGTAGTTGAGAACTTCAAAGCTATAGCCCCAAAGTAGAAAAGCATGCAGCAATATTCCAGTCAGCCATGTAAATTCACTTTATGACTTGCTATGTCAAAAACTCTGCACTTTGATCTTTCGAAATTCACTTCCACTGCGTCAATACCAATTGAAGGAGAGATATTTTTAATCAACCAGTTCAGACAACTTATGACACACATGTTGAGTAGGCAGGATTTGGTCTTCTGACCCAGAGGTATTGACACTACCACTTCACCACAAGAACCCTCATTGAAAGTTTTTTTTTGTCCTAATCAACCTGATGATTGATGTTATGACACCCCTCTGGAGGTGGTGGAATTTGAACCCAGGTCTCCTAACTCAGGGATGTGGACAACTATCAATGTGCCACAAGAACCCTAAACACGTGGTCACTTTTAAACTATACCTATAAGCCAGATTTTTAAAATGAATTTCAAATTTTGAACACATCTCAGAATATTTGTGTGGGGCTCTGGATTAATGGAGCAGTTAGTTTATCACTACACTACCATGTCTCATATGAATTAAAAGAGATATATTAAGATAGGTGATGACAATCACTTGCATACACACACAGCTTCACAGCCTCTGGATGTCCTAATGCACTTTACAGCCCTTGAAGTGTAATCGCTATTTTTTGTGCTGAAAACAATAAATCTTAAGAAGGACACACAGAGATTTCGAGGTTTAAGGAGTGGATTGAAAGCCTAAGGCTGAGATTGTTGAAGGCATGGCTGTTAGTTGGTTGAAAGGAGTGACAAATGTATTGATTACGAAAAACATCATTTTGACCTTGAAATGTTGAATCTGTTTCTCTCTTGACAAATGTTGCCAGGCCTGCTGAACTTTTCCAGAAGGGAGGGGCTCAGCTTGTAGCTCATCCTGTGCTGGTAAATCAGCATGAATCTAAGGAGTGGTTGATGGCTTCACAATATACCTGTTAATATTTTAGTGTGAACATTTCAAATGTAGGTTGCAGCTTAGTTGTCTGCTGTGCCATTCCATGATGGTACAACATAACCATTCAAAGAACCACTGAAAGGACCATAATATTGAATGCAAAATTTGAAGTGATGAACCATACAAGGGTAATCTGTTTATATGTGGTTCTGTAACTTCTTGGAGAAATCTTCCTTTCCACATGTGTGGCATTACCTTTCACATTTCTAACCAGGATTTCTGGGTGTTATAGTGAGTAATCAATCACCCTGTCATCTATTTTCTACCAGGCTTTCAGACATCTCATCCTAGGTTACTCTGCATATTGCATATTTGTCTCAATTTATGCAGCTGCACATCACAAGCATCAAATATTTAACGTGCTTTCAGAAATCCTTCATTTGTTGGATAAAAGTGTAACTCATTAATTAGTTGAATGGGGTTTAATTCAGCGTATTATTGACTTGATTTTCTATATAACTGTAATTTTTAAAATTTTTTTTTATGTTCATGAGAGAGAACTTTTTTTAGCCCAACTTGTTATAATAACATTTGCGAGTTATTAGAATTGTTGCTTAGTGAATTCTGCCCACAGTATATAATTGAAATTTGTTTTTGAAGTGATTGCCTGGATTTAAAGAATGCTGAAGTCAGCTTATTTGTAAAGTTATGTCCTTCACTGTATTGACAACACTATGATTTGACCCTCTTGATTTAATATAGCTATAGTGACAGCTGTGGCTCAATTGAGAGTATTCCCATCTCTGAGTCAGAAAGTTGTTACATGCCTGAGATTAACTATTAGTCAAACGGAGTCCAGGCATATAGTTATTTTTCTAGTGAGAGAGCTTTACTTCAACTTACACATCACCAACGTATAACATATTGATTGCCTGATCCCCATAACAGTCAAATTCTCATCACAAATCCCTCCATTAACATACGACTATAATCAATTCCTTCATTGCATTTGATCTCAGGCTTCCCTGCCAACCTGTGTTTGATGATAACAATGCTTGTGAGTTTATGTTCCATTTTAGAAATACAAACACAAAAATGTAGGCTGATATTTTAGTGCTGTACTGAGGAATGCTGTACTGTCAAAGATGCCATATTTCAGACAAAAGTGAGGATCCCGTCATCTCTCTCTGCTATATGTTAAAGATCCCCAATGCTATGTTGAAGGGGATCACGAGAGAGAGCAGATGTTCTGGACAATATTTATCCCTCACTCAGCATCACCAAAAAATGAATTATCTAATCATTATCATGTTGTTGTTTGTGGAAGCTTGCTGTGTTTAAATTAGCTGCTGTGTTCCCTTCATTACAACAGTGATGACACTTCCAAAGTGCATTACTGCTGTAAAGCACTTGGACCTGCCCTGAGGTTGTAAATGTAATTATTTCTTTCTGGAGATAAAACTTTGTTGTCACTTCTGTAGACCTACCACCAAAAGACACATGCATCACTGTTGCAACAGTTTAAGAATTGAGGTACTTTTTTCCCATGGTCACAATCAGATAGAAGGCTTGTTACACAGGATAGAGTTAATTATGTTATAAAAGTACCATCACTGAAATTCCAAGTATGTGTAAATGTACAAAATTGGATTGGAATCCCTGCTTCACAATTGTGAAAAGTATGATCCAAACCCAAGATGTCCATGCTGGCCAACATTGTCATATCGCCCGATTACATGAAGTACCAGTTTCCTACCTTGCAGAGATAAGCCTTGTAATTGGCATATTAAAATCAGACCCATACCGTACAGCTGGGAGCTTAGTTTAATTCTATTTGCTGTCCTGCTTCAGCATCCCAAAGCTCGAGAAACCCAGCAGCCAAATTAACATGGGAGCAGTTGATTTCAAAAGGTTAATAGCATTCCTTGTGGACCAAGAGAAACAATAGCCCTTTCCCTGGCTTCTCAAAGGTTTCCCCTCTACTTAATCATAGCCTTAGTTTGTTCTGTGGCTTGATAAGATTCTTTTAAATCAGTTCTTTTATATCCACTGGTTGGCAATACTTGGTGTTTGAGCAAATTACAAGCATAAACCTTAGAGAAGTTCACCACTTTACTTTAATCATCAAAATGTCAGAACAGAGCTATCAAACTGCAACTACCAGCAGGTATTCCATCCTTCTCTCTTAGATTTGCTTTCAGGTCACTTCACACGATTCTGACTGCTTTTTTTAATCACTTTTTCTTTCACACAGAGATCTGAATCAAATTAATATTGATTGAAATTTTAAGACATTTGTAGGAAATTTATTTAAAATTAGTTATTAACATGTTTCAAACAAATTAATTAATATTACATATCATAATATGGAAGCACAAGTTAATTAGGTTGTGCAACCATCTAAAAATGGCAAGGCAGGACACTAGAGAATAATCATTTAGAGGCATAGACTCTAATATAATTGTAGTTATAAGTCTGGACTTCTCTTTCTCTGTAGCAGTAATGAAGAGAGGTTCACTGCTACTGAGAGATGTAACGGTACTGTAACTTCCAACAGCAGGATTTAAACTATAATCCATACGTTGTGATGCACCTCTATGAGCTTCAGAAGATCCACTTGGTGGGTCTGCCATGAGTTTGAGAGGTTTCCTGTTTTCCCACAACTTGCATGGATTTTTACGTACAATCCTTACAGCCAATTAATCCCAGGTTTAAATCAGCAAAGTGACGAAAAGACTAGTGAATCTATTGGGGAGAATGGATGGAAATATCAGCAAAAATGGTTCTTTCTAATTCCCCTGTCTCACTTTCACTGCTGCCCTCATTCTACAAGCTTGTCTTCCAACTCTATGGCTGCTGGAAATCTGAAAAGAAAGAATGGAAAAAGCTAGAGAAACTCAGCAGGTTTGACAGCATCTGTGGAGAGAGAAACACAGTTCACATTGAGTCTGAAAGCAATGTTTGGCTCAGTTTAACATCCAGCCTATACTAATATGTTGCATTAATTTCTTAGCTGATGTCTGATCCCCAGGAAAGGACTGTGTGTGTGTGTGTATGTGTGTGTGTGTGAGATTTTAGCAGCCACTGGTCTTCTCTACAGCACAACTGAGTAAAAGAGCTAACACAGCCACTGAGATAACAAGGTGCAGAGCTGGATGGACACAGCAGGCCAAGCAGCATCAGAGGAGCAGGAAGGCTGACGTTTCGGGCCGAGACCCTTCATCAGAAATGGGGGAGGGGAAGGGGATTCTGAAATAAATAGGGAGAGAGGGGGAGGCGGATAGAAGATGGATAGAGGAGAGGATAGGTGGAGAGGAGACAGACAGGTCAAAGAGGTGGGGATGGAGCCAGTAAAGGTGAGTGTAGGTGGGGAGTTAGGGAGGGGATAGGTCAGTCCAGGGAGGACAGACAGGTCAAGGGGGCGGGATGAGGTTAGTAGGTAGGAGATGGGGGTGTGGCCTGAGGTGGGAGGAGTGGATAGGTGGGAGGAAGAACAGGTTAGGGAGGCGGGGACGAGCTGGGCTGGTTTTGGGATGCGGTAGGGGGAGGGGAGATTTTGAAGCTTGTGAAATCCACATTGATACCATTGGGCTGCAGGGTTCCCAAGCGAAATATGAGGTGCTGTTCCTGCAACCTTCGGGTGGCATCGTTGTGGCACTGCAGGAGGCCCAGGATGGACATGTCGTCTGCGGAATGGGAGGGGGAGTTGAAATGGTTCGCGACTTGGAGGTGCAGTTGTTTATTGCGAATCGAGTGTAGGTGTTCTGCAAAGCGGTCCCCTAGCCTCCGCTTGGTTTCCCTGATGTAGAAGAGGCCACAACGGGTACAGCGGGTGCAGTATACCACATTGGCAGATGTGCAGGTGAACATCTGCTTGATGTGGAAAGTCTTCTTGGGGCCTGGGATGGGGGTGAGGGGGGAGGTGTGGGGGCAGGTGTAGCACTTCCTGCGGTTGCAGGGAAAAGTGCCGGGTGTGGTGGGGCTGGAGAGGAGTGTGGAGCAGACAAGGGAGTCACGGAGAGAGTGGTCCCTCCAGAAAGCAGATAAGGGTGGGGAGGGAAAGATGTCTTTAGTGGTGGGGTCGGATAGCAGATGGCGGAAGTGTCGGAGGATGATGCATTGGATCCGGAGGTTGGTGGGGTGGTATGTGAGGACGAGGGGGATTCTTTTTTGGCTGTTATTGCGGGGAGGGGGTGTGAGGCATGAGTTGCGAGAAATGCGGGAGACACGGTGGTGGGCGTTCTCGACCACTGAGAGGGGGAAGTTGCGGTCCTTGAAAAACGAGGACATCTGAGATGTACGGGAGTGGAATGTCTCATCCTGGGAGCAGATGCGGCAGAGGCGAAGGAATTGGGAATAGGGGATGGCATTTTTGCAGGAAGGTGGGTGGGAGGAGGTGTATTCTAGGTAGCTGTGGGAGTCGGTGGGCTTGAAATGGATATCGGTTTCTAGGTGGTTGCCCAAGATGGAGACAGAGAGGTCTAGGTCCCCGCAATAACAACCAAAAATGAATCCCCCTCGTCCTCACGTACCACCCCACCAACCTCCGGATCCAACACATCATCCTCCGACACTTCCGCCATCTGCAATTC